TTTCCCGAAGATATGAAGAAAATGTCGGTTGTGATCTCCGAGGAAATTGGCAAGATAGCCTCGGATGGTTCAGACGACGTCACTAAATACCGACGGATCCACTCCAGAATTCCGTACCACGAACCCGGCTGTCGTCAATTCGAGGCCCAATTCTTCGGCTTCATTCAAGCGCGACCTCGAGTAGCTCGACATTTCGTGCAAAGATGCCTACAAAATTGTCGGTTGCCCAAAGATATGAATAAAATGTTGGTTTTAAACAATCCCTTAGTGACTAATTGGGGAAGAACTTTGTGATTTTACAGGAAAATTGGCAAGACAGCCTCGGAAGGTTGAGACAACATCACTAAATAACGGCGGATCTACTCCGGAATTCCCCATCACGAAGCCGGCTGTCATCAATTCGAGACCCAATTCGTCGGCTTCATTCAAGCACGAACTCGAGTAGCTCGACATTTCGTGCAAAGATGCCTACAAAATTGTCGGTTGCCCGAAGATATGAAGAAAATGTCGGTTTCAAATAATCCTTTAGTGACTAATTGGGAAAGAACTTTATGATTTCCGAGGAAAATGGGCAAGATAGCCTCACCGAAAAGCGAAGAACGACTGTTGCAGAGGGAAGAGACGTCCGTTGAATTGTGCAAACAAGTGCTCGGCTCGCTGTTCTGCCGCACCAAAGAAGTTGGGCTGAGCTCTCTTTTTCACCATCTCCGAACAGGAAAGCACACTTGACAAAATGGCACAAAAATCCAGCAAAACCATCGCGATTTCCGCGCAATCCAACACTCTTTCCTCCACGTCAGTCAACACAATCTCGGTTTCCGACAGGATTATTGCACCAATCCCTTCCAGCCATCTTTAGCCTCTGGTACATTTTCCCACTCTGATATCCTCACACTTAAGTCACATGATACTTTCTGCTGCAGGTGGGTTGTGCGTTGACATTGTTTTTAATAAGTCTGTACTTTCCTATTGTCAGAGTCCACGGTTTCGCAGGTCGACAACCTGAACAACTCGGGTTCCAGGCTTCACTTTTGTCGTACAGACGGAGCTTAGAAACTTTTGACTCGATTACGGGAGGACAAGAGGTGAGTTCGAATAAAGTGAACCGTTGCTAGGCGACCATACAGACTGCATTTTATGGTTGAGTGCAATTCGATTTGAAACATCAAACATTCCATATCATCAAGTGTCGCTCTGAGGTGGTACAGTTTTCATAATCATGTGCTACTCTGTTTCTCAGGTTAAAAGGTAGGCTGTATTTTGTATTGAGAAGACGAAGTCGGGTTCTTCTTGATCTCTTCTCGTTACTGGCCGTAAATATATTCATATTTACATATCCATCTATCAATATATATTGATATATGCTTATATATATATATATGTACTAAAACACGCCGATTTATCCCTACATACAATATATACATATATAGATATAGATATAGATATGTAAATATATTCATATTTACATATTTATCTATCTATATTTATTTATGTATAATTTTATATATACGCATTTATATATATATATATATACGTACTAAAACACGCCGATTTATCCCTACATACAATATATATATATTTATATT